TTAACATTCCTTCGCGAAGTCCACCGCGCACAAGTCGACCCCATGGGCAGATCGACGCCACTTTCATTGAGCGTCGCCCATTCTATCCCGGCCGTAATGCGGAGCCGGTCACGGTGGGATAATGCGCGGGTGAGGTTGCAGTGCCACGCGCGTTGCCTGATCGACAGTTTGCAGGCGCACCGTTGCCGCACCTCAAACTCACGTTCCGCTGTGGGATTTTGAGGTTGTCTCTGGCTTATTAGCTCTAGAGTACCTATATTGAGAGAGTATGGCCACTGGTGTTACCACCTCTGATTGGCTCAGCCATCTTAGGCTGAATGGAGCCCTTAGGACCCAAAAATGGCGGACGCCATAAATTAATGTAATGCAAAATGACTCAAAATGTAGTTTTCGTTGCTTATCGTAACGATACATTTACCCAAATGCACTATTGCGACTTCTTTACATATTTTTAAGGCTAATCGTGTGCAATTTTTGAGAAAAATTATCTTAGATATAGTACGGTTGGCAGCAAGTGCGGTTGGTGAAAACCGTCAAAAGTTGGCAATGACCCCCCTCCCTTCCACAAAAACCAAAACAAGGCACCGCCATTTTTGGGTCCTAAGCCTCTCCATGGGGCCCAGTGGCCATACTCTCTCAATATAGGTACTCTGATTAGCTCCGCCGGAAATCCGACAACACTGCGGGGGGACTGAGACCCGGGAGCCGGGGCTGGGAACGGGACCCCGTGCACGTAGATAGCACATCCGCGAATCCGGACGTGTATTTGCATAAGTCAAATCCCACTCCCCATCCCCCTTCTCCCAGCCGGGCCGCCACTTTCTTCCGCTGTGACTCTGCCGCGGTTTTAGCACTGTGTCTCAAGTGTCGTTGTAGAGGTTCGCAGTGTTGTCTGGGATTTTGCGGGCTGATTATTGACATTGATAGACAGAGCGATAGACAGAGAGGACATAAGAAAATCGATCGATCCTGTTGGTTGAAATAGGTGGTTGTTNCATATTTTAGCACTGTATTAATTCATCACATTATCACTTAAGCTAGGATTTAAACCGAGTCAAGCAATACCGCGGTATCTTAATCGGGTCTCTTCTGTTTTTCTAATATTATGATTTACAACGCTTAAGATTTTTTGAGAATGGCCGATCTCATTGCTGCCGTGCCGAGGGAAAACGCCATATGAACATTAAAGAGTTGCCAAATTTCCTCCGTTAAAACGCTTGGTTTTGAGGAGTGTTATAGATCTTTTTCCTTGAATTTCCAGGTAAGGATCTGATATAAAGTTCTCTAAAAATTCTCTAACAAACTCAAAGGAAAATATTCATAAATTTATCAGATAATTAATATTGTATTGGAGGGAATTATGCAACATCTACAACATCAACCTGCCGCTAGAAAGCTGTTATGGAATTAAGCGTTGGGAGATCACGTCTCGCGCTGTAGCGCCTTCAATTTTGCGCAAGCAACACGGACATCCATCAAGTGCGAATAGTTGTATGTCCGCGCCGTAGGAAAGCAAGTCCTTTTTCCTCGGTTGTTTCCATTTTGGGCGCTTCTGGGTACCAGATGCGCCCTTTCCAGCCGTTCGACTCCCCCGATGTAACATGTACTATACTACATACCGTTTTGCCTTATGGGTAATGACGCCATTCTGGTACACCCGGGAAAATTTGATTTTCTTCTGCATCTGGTATTCGTAAAAGTTTTCGTGAAATGTTTTGCTTTTAAGCATAACAATCTCGCACGGACGTATTACCTGGTTAAACTATTTTGGGGCTTCGTTATGCTTAAATGCCTCATTTTCGAGGTTGTAGTTTCAGATTGATTCGAAAAAATCACGAACAGTCACGTGATCTCTTCATTTTAGTGACGTATTACTGTGCTATTTTGTGATTGGTTCATTTTCTCGGCGCAGCGTCGTCAAGCGTCAGCTGTTTGCGGCTCTGGGTTGAAGGTTTAAGGTTATGTCAGAGAGAATAGAAAGTTAGAGGCCCGACTCGATGCTAGGTAATTGAAACAGATGAGCTCGCAGCGCGCTCGCTGGCATCGTACGCAACTACTATTTTCTATTGTTTTCCAGAGACTAGCGGCGGGTATGTTGCTACCGGACCACCTTCACGTAGGCAATTTGTTATACATCGTCCGTCCGCAATACTCTCGCTTGGCCGTATGAAAACGTTCCTCGCATGCGCAGTGTTAAAGAAGCGCCCTCCAACGCTTTGGCGTTGGAACTGCTTGTTTTCTGTCCATCGCAACCATCTACTTCTATCAATCGGATTGATCACTGAAAAAAAAATATCGGTGTATTTACTAAAAAAAGGGTAAAATTACCAAGAATTCGGGGTTCTATTTGATCCCAGTTTTTTCTCGGTAAAATTACCATTTATGGAATTGGTAATTTTACCGAGAGATCTTGGTGAAATTATTGAACTTTCTCGGTAATTTTACTGGACCTTGGTAAAAACGCCAATATTTTTTATCGACTGTGGTAGAATTACCGAGATAAAATGGCAAAGTTACCGGGAATTGATTACCAATAAAAGAGGTATTCTTACCTGAAAAAACAATAAAAATACTGGTTTTTAGGTAAGCTTACCAGTCTGTCTTGGTAAAATTACCAATAATTGGTGAAACAAGTGAGATAGTAAAGGTACCAACGGACCTTGGTAAAAACGCCGAGAATTTTTTTTCAGTGATTTATGTAATCTTTTTCTTCTCTGTCTATAATTTCAAAAGAACGACCCGCGGAGGAATCTTACTTTGAGAGTAGGTATCGACTACAGTTATACTATTTATGTTTGCGTCGATGTGAATTGAAAATAGCGCCAGGGCCAGTCGATTTTCGCCAACTTTTGTCCGCCCGCTAGATAATGGGTCAATCGATAAGTCGTTATTGAGAAATATAATGAAATTGTGACCACAATCACTGTTGAATCAGGGATAATCGTGGTGGAATTGCGGGATGGCGATCAAACTCTTTTTCCCCACAGAACTAAAGAGAGAGAGGGGGATTATGCATTATTGATTTGTACCCAATGACGTCATTGGGGACACACGAAAATCAACTGAAGTATTTTGCACAGTCACTTTTTAATAACTTTATTCGCAATTTTTGTGGTATAATCGCAATCGCCTTCTTTTTTTTCTATGATCATCACCATCTGATGTTGATTTAACCACCTGACTGACTAAGTTATTTCGTTTTGCAGGGCATGGCAATTTGGTTGAGTTATGCGTAGTTGTGCTGATACAAAATCAATTATTCTCGACACAAATAATTTTGACCTTAACAATAGAGACAAACACGCTCCGTCAGTATCTTGGCAACATGTGGAAACGTTGTCTCGGTAACCAACCCTTAAAATAACTCCCTCACTGTATAGTGAGGAACGAGTTAAGAAATTTACTAAGCAAACAAGCCGTTGTTTCGTAGATTCATTGGGCACAAAACAAAAAATTTCGCTCAACTTCTAACAAAATGGTATGATAAGAGACGGCTGCCCACGCGAAAAACTTTGAGTCGTCGAAAGTAAAAGTCCCTTCCTTTTTCGGCATAATAGAGGAGGGTCTCTCTATTTGTCTCTTTGAATAACAATCAAAGTTTTTTTCATGCCCTTGTCTCAAGTAAAACAAAAGAATTCTAGAAATTCTCACGTCGGCCGAGCGAGGCATTGACGTAATTCTGACTCTAAATAAATCAGGGGACCGTGAGGACCGCGACCTCTTCCGCTTTCTCCAACGACGCAAAGCGTCGCAGCGCTTACGACGCCGAGACCTCGGCCCATTGCACTTGAGACAAAACATCGCGAGCAGAAGGTCTCGCCAAGTTGCCGCATTTGGTAAAAAAAAAAAATAAACCATCAGCTTACCGCGTGTTAGCATCGTTATTCTTGACGTCCTACCAATCGAAAAACGGGCATGGCGCCTTCAATTATTTGTATATGCAACACGGACATCCGTAGTGCACGAATAGTTGTATTCAAGCTCTAGTATTAACCATACGTTGCGCCCGCTGAGAAAATAAACCATCACCTTCACCGCGTTTTAGCACCGTTATTCTGAACGTTCTACTAGTCGAGAAACCGGTATGGCTCCTTCAATAATTTGTATAAGCAACACGGACATCCATAGTGCACGAATAGTTGTATTCAAGCTCCAGTATTAACCACACGTTGCGATTTTTGCTGCATAACTTAAAATTATAAAATCGGTCCATGCTTTATTTACCAGTCTTTAATTTTTCAAATTGGACGATCTCACCCAAAGCGTGTTTTTCGCATATTTTCTGTACGACTGCATTTTTCTTAATTCAAAAATTTGAGACGGTTTAAAATAATGACTTAAAATGAAAAGAAAGAAAAAAAATACAAATAAAAAAAGCTGAGAAAAAAGATTAAAAAACCTCCGGGCTTTTTGAAAAGATTGCACTTTTTTTTAACACGAAAATAAAGAGAGAGAAAAAAGGCACAACCATAAGTACAGGTCATTGCGTTGCTTTTTGGCAGAAACTATTGGAGATCGAATTTACAAAATTAATTATTGCGAATATGAAATACATCGTGTGTGCCGAAAGTTTTCCTACGAACATATACGCGTTTTTGCAGATGAATAAAAAATTTTAGTTCCTAACTGCAAAGTGTAGCTCAGTTTTTTTTCTGTTTCCCCGTCTTCATCATACACGGAAAAAAAGTGTCAGGGGTTATCCCCCAAAATATTGTGGTAGGTACTACCCCAATTTTTTGGATGATATGGACGTTTCTAATCAATCGTATTATAAAGTATTATATAGTACCGCAACTCAAGTTAGGTTAGGAACGCAACATTTGGGTTAGTTACCTAATTTATTGGGGTACTACCATGATTAATTGGGTTGCTACCATAATTAATTGGGGCACCACCACAATTAATTGGAAATTTCCATATCATCCAACAACTTCATGCTTTTATTTCCGTGTAAGTATTTTCAGGAAAGCTCTCTTCGAGTGTAAGTTGAAGGGATTTACCTGTAGCTGGACGAGTATCGCTGAGGGTGCGCGAGCCCAGACGCCCTGGACTGCCTCTCGTGGTTGGTCGGGGAGTGACTGTGGGCATCGTCTTGGAAATCGGCTGTGGCGTCGCGTGATTCACACGGATAGATCACCGCGGCGCAGAAAAGGAGAACGGAGATCAGCACCTGAAAAAGATCAAATTATAGTTGCAGTCGGTGCATCGCATCGCATCGCAGCGCAGCGCGCATCACGGCGGCAGCTTTGCCCCGAGCCACTGATAAGCGCTCTCTCCCTCGCCCGCTCACGAGACCTCGCTGTTCCCACCTAGCCCCCGATTGCCCTCTTCGCTGCCAAATATATTGTCTTTGTGAAATATAGAACTTTTTAAGTCAGTCACTGATCTCGCTATAGGTACAGGGTGTCTCAAACATAAACAAGAATTCTTTCAAAATCACACTGAAAAAAATAATATGCTGTTTTAGCAGCTAGGATGTCAAGAATGTGTCTGGTGATCTCAAGATATTGCCTTTACTGCCCTCGCAGTTAACTTTACATCCTATGAATGCAAATTCAACTGCGTGGGTAATCAAGGTAGCATCTTAGGATCACCAGACACTTTTTTCCCATTTTTTTCAGTGCGATTTTTGGGCGCAAAATAAGACTTTTCTTTATCTACAGCGTTTCCCAATAAATCCCAGCCTCCCAAAACCCCACTTCAAATATGATTTCGATTCTTTTTCAGGTCAGAATTGTGTTTGACGAGTAAAAGAACACAAAAGTGTCGATTTCCATTTATTATCATTTATAAGTGTGGTCATAACTATAAGAATATCCGATTTTTGGGCCGAAGTGTGAGAGGCTGTAATTCTGAAGGAAGTGTACTTATGAGAAAGTTATGGAACAAAAAAATCTCATTTTGATTCCAAAAATTGATTCTGCAAATATCTGCGCTTATCTATGGGACACCCTGTAGGGTTTCCTAATTAGCATTTTTCTATTTACGGAAAACGTTCTAGACGAATCAGTCAGATAAATCTCTACAACGAGCTATGGCAGTAAAATTTATATTATTTCAAAAGAAATTTATACTATTTAAAATAAGAGGTTCGCAATTTCATATCATGGGAGAAAAAACCTGACAATGAGTCAAATTGCGAAAATTTGAAAACCCTTCAAAGTTTGGTAACAAATAAACTAAAAATTCAAAATCCTCCGGGGATTTTCCAGGCCGCTCTATGTCTTCATGTTAATCTGTAGGATGATCTAGATCTGAGTGGCATGGTTGGACAAATAACATCTTTAAAAACCTGACAGACCGTATTTGGTTTAAACGATACATCGGAAGGAAGAGGACCTCTTTATTATGAGAGAGAGTGTCCATATGAAGCCAACTCTTCGAACAGAGAGGGGATACTTCACCAGTAATGCCACTTTATGTATAGACTGTGGATGTAATAAAGAAAGTAATTTTTTTAAAATTAAAGAGGGTATTCTCTGCATGGGGGATTTGACTCAATATGAAGGCTCCACTTTATTACGGCGTCGCTCTCATCCATTATGGCCGGAACTTTAAAGGCTTTATTTTCGTGACCAGGAGTTGACCTTATATAAAACCAGTTGCATTAATGATCTTTTGCAGAGTTTAAAATAGGATGCTGTCAAATTGATATTTTCAGAGTTTTGCGTTAACTCCTGTGTCCGTCTTAAATACCACGTTTTTACTAGAGCTGAAACAAAATTTGGTATATTTCAACTCTGTGTACCAGTTACATACTTAATTTTATACCTCAATATTTTCAAGATAGCTTATTACTTTTAGCACATATGTCTGCCGCACTATATTCGTTATGGTTCATAATCTTGGCATCAAAGTAGAGACGTAAAGTCGCGGGATGCCATGGGCGGATCCAGCAAATTGGCAACATTTTTTTTCTCCATTTAAACCTATGGAAACTTATCGATTCTTGGAGGGGCCAGGTGCTCCGACAAGAATCGATTATTTAACATATATTTAAATGGAGAGAATGCGGTGTTGCCAAATTGCTGAATCCGCCTCCGCGGGATGCTAAGTTGAATCTTATCAAAACTTCCAGTAATTTTGATGCTTCTTCTTTCAATCCATGGCCTCATTTGATAGAAAGTAATTGCCAGACCTGCCGGTTCTCAATTTTGAAGCGAATCAATGAAGCACGGAAGATCCGTCTTCCCTTTACAGAGAAGTTTATTCTCCCGTTACAACTTGTCCAGGGCTCTTGCAATTTTCATGGCGTAACCTATTTGACAGTGCAGTAAGGGCAGAAGCATAACTATGTTTTATTACTCCACGGCACAGCGCGTGCCATTTGTCTCGGCAAAGAGGCATATATGGAAGAAGAATATAACCAGTTTCCTCTCCTTTGAGATTCATTCTTATGATAACGCTATTCTTTCTGATCAAGCTCAAACAATCATAATTTGCAGGCGCAGAAAAACTGGGACTGCATGCATTAGCATGAGCCTCCGTCTGATCAAGATTTGTTTTGTTTTGTCTTTCTCATGCGGTGAATAAGTGCTAATATTTTCTGGCAGGGGACAAACTGAAAATGACTCACCTGCAGCTCAGCCACAGACTTTCGCTGTTCCATTGAAAGTGATGGAACAGGCTCACGTACCATAAGGTGCTTCCCTATGGAACGGTCATCATATAATCAATGGATGTGAAAGTCTGTAGTTGGGCTGCTGAAACAAAGGAAGTTAATGATGAAACTACAGAATCACCTATCTCATTCTAAACACACACTTTTCTCAACATTGCATCAATGATGCAAATCGTTGCTTGCATGAATTATATTTCAGACTGGCAACAGCATCCACAAACTTAACAGCGGTTTCCTCAAATTCCGCGTATTTAGTCCTCAAACTTTGGCTATGAGATCAATTTTCAGGTGTTTTTTGCGCTAAATAAAGGAGATTTAACCTCTCTAAGGGCTGGTAAAGTTATTTTTCTCCCTCTCATCACCTTGAGGACATTTTACTCTTCTTCGTCAATGCGTTATATCTTAACTTCATTTTGCGATTAGAAACTACAATTTCTGTCTCAGCTTAGAAACAACGTATGTACGATCGGTTTCTGTATGCGGGTAAGTGTTTTTACCCATTGACCAGAAATTGCAGTTCCGAATTACAAAATGGAGTCCATCTAATCTCTCTTGGAACGTACTTAAGGAAGCAAAATACGACAACGCTGCTTTTCGACCCTGTGTTAAAGATCCTTTACAAGAATGCATGGAGTAAGTCCCTGGAGAAATGAGCACGAAGCGGCGGGAACAGAACCGATCGACGAGCTTTGGGTCTCCGGGCCAGGCCCCCACTTGCCCCCTCAAGGGGGGGGGGGGCTGTCGCACTCCCTTCTCGTCGTCGTTATTATCCATGCACCATTAAAAGGGAAATCCCCGATTGCGCCTGGCCGTTTTAATGGCACTGCTCCGAGACCCCTTTGCCTAAATAATTGTTCACTCCACGCAAAGGTCCGGTTTCACTTTAAATATTGACTCTATCACGAGAGAGTCGGGGTCTGGAAAATCTGCTGAAGAGCGGAGAGTAATTTGAACTGAATTCAGGAGAGAGGAACCATGAGGAATTAGTCCGATGACGATTTTGCAAGTCGTCAACAGTGTTTTTCCTCCATTTAAAACCATTAAAAATGTCGATTTTAAGTGAGGAACCGGCCTAACCAAAAATCTATTTTTTTCCTACATTTGAATGGAGGAGAATCAGTTTTGCCAACTCTCAAGAATCGCCACTGAATGAGTCTGTCGCAGCTGCACGCAGAGAATTAAGTCAACTGAGTATTTTAGAGAGGTAAATCGTGAAAAAAATACGTTGGGCATATATATTAGAAATTGTTATTTTCTAGACGAAAACTTGTAACTTTCCATTTCAACGTCGCCAAATTTCCACCTGCGATTTGTTTTGTTGAAATGATTCTTTTTCTAATCATAGGAAAGAATTAGTTACAGATATAGAAATCGTAGTAATATTTTTCAGACAAATGCAATCGTTTAATTCAATTTTGCAACCTTGTAATACAGGTACGTTCTTCTTTCAAGAGATGACAAAATTTCCAAAATACATTCGGTATGTAAATTTGTGTAACACGTAAGATATATTCTGGCCAACAGTTGATGAAATGATGAGATATGTTTACCCTCATTTTTCACGTATTCTCTGGACTGAATTAAAATAATCGTAAAATGTCCTTTTTTTATGTGCAAAATATGTCCGGCTCCTTTTTAGAACCTGGCATTAAAAAACGCCTATAGCATACGCAGCAATGGGCATTTTCAGTGCTTCCGGAATAATTTTCAAATTGTTGATCAAAGGGATTGCGGTGTTTCGTACGGCAACCAGTTCACTTGAAATGAAAACAAACGAGCTACAAAGCTACAAACAATGGAGCCATCGATTTGTATACAATGCAATGCCTCGTAGCAAGAGATGCTGCTTTCAGCATCAGGAAAGTGGAATAGTGAAGGAAACGGACGACGCACTGTGGATCTAGTCAATAGGAGAGGTCGGACAAAATTTGATAACTTTCAACGCTTATAACTCCGTTTATACAAAATTGTGCGGTTCTAAAAGTGGTTCCATTGATTTCCTAGTGAAATTTTCTTCTAGTGGCTCCCCTTGAACTTCCAAATTTGACGAAATAAACATCAAAATCCTCAGTTTTAGCCAAAATTTTCGTGTCCGACCTGTTTAACTAACTCGATCCATTGTGCGACGGCTCGCGATTGCAGCGGAAGAAAGTCAAGCACGTTGATAAAAAATAAAGTATCCGCGGAAATAGGATGATGATATCGATTTATGATCGAGACGAAACGCTCACAGGCTTTGACAATATATCTACAAGTCGTGACCCTCGTTTCAAAAATTACTCAAGACGAAGACGACATCTGTATTCACGATGTTTGAAGTTTCCCAGTTCTGCACTTGTTGAGAGAGAACGGGATACATAAGTTTAGGGGCCCACCAGTGAACTTGCAGCTCTGCGATTTTGTGCTTTTATTAATGAAAAATGTAATGATAGGAAGTAAGTCTCCTCTACTTAAAAGCTTGGAGACTTTAACGCACGTTTAGAAAAGAAGCCTATTGCACACGTTTACCTATGGTAGCGTTCCGGCCTAATCTTCTTTAAAGACAGCAT